AAAAAAAAAAAAAGAAATAACCCTTCTCTTGCGATCCCCTCTCCTGTGGAGACCCGACCTTGTAGTTGTCCTCTTTGGCCACTAGGTGGGGACCGTCTCATTTGAGAGGGTGCTGCTTCAGGTGCCTTTGTCTTGTTCAGTTAAGACCCTTTTCCCTCCACTTATAGTCGTATTAGTGAGTTTGGAGCAGAGGGAGAAAATAAACCACTTTTAACTAGAACTTTCCTTTCTGGAAAGAAGGTAACTAGCATTTGCTGAGCCCTGTTCCAGGCCACACACTGTGCTGTGTGGTTTACACCCATCATCTCATTTAATCACCGCAGCAGCCCTGGTAGGGGGCGCTATTCTCCCACATTACAGATGAGAACATTCTGGCTCCAGGAGATGGGCTGACTCGCACAGTGGCCTGTGGCTGGTGGTGGTGACCCGGTTCTGGCCCAGCGTTACCCCAGGGCTGGCACAGTTCCTGTCTCATAGCTGATATTCCACAAATCATTGCCGAGTGAATAAACATAGGAGTGGGATTTGCTTCCTAGGAGCCTCATAGAGCTGTGGGAGAGGGTTAAATGGGAGAATGCACCTAGCTGGGTGTCTAGAACTTGGTGAACCACTTAAACTCCTTAGGAGAAAATTTCCATCTCCCCGTTGGGTAAATATGATAGATGATGTAGAACTCATTGATGTCTTGTTAACACTTTCCTTACTCCCCTCATCTTTTCTTTCAACTGATGGTGTCTTCTTTTTCTTTTTTTTTTTCCTCCTTCTGCTGCTTGGTGGCTAGCAGGGCACCTAGGGAGAGATGTGACCCTGGAAGGTACTTAGTTTCTCTGCCCTGGGTAAGCCCTCTCTGTGAGCATGTGTGGGTAGGGCTGGAAGGCCAGACCCTGCTGTTGTAGCTGCAGCCGTGGGACCCCGGGAGGGATCCGGTCTGCTCAGAGTCTGAGAGGAGGCAGGGGCCTAACCAAAATCACGTGGGCTTCAGGATTGGGAAGACCTGGGTCTGAATGTCGGTCCCTGCTCCATTTCCTATAGTGTCACCTTAAACAAGTCACATATCCCCTCTGCTCCTCAGCGTCTTTGTCTCTAAAATGAATACTGTCAACTTCAAAGGTGGCTGTAAAGGTTAAGTGATAACACATGGGTCACGGAGCACCGAGGTCTCCTGCCTCAGCATTGAACCCCTATGGAAGTCCAGAAAGAACTCTCCTTCTTTGAGGAATATTTCCCCATCTCCTGAGAATCACCAGATTTCCTGTCTCGGAGATTAATGGGGGGAGGCAGGGGGCCTTATGCCACCCTCAGAGGCGTTGCTTGCGCCAGGCCAGAGGAACCCGGAGCACAGAGGTGCTGGAGAACAGACACACTAGTACTAGTGGGAGTGGGAGAGGAGTCTCGGGTCACGCGGGGAGCAACAGCGCAGAATGTGGGGTTGCACTCCCCCCTCCGCACCCCTGCTGCAGAGCTAACAGGACTGAGTTCCAGGGCCTTCCTTCCACTCCTTTTCCTCAGAGTGCCCGGGAGTACCGACAGCGCAGCCTGCTGGAGAAAGAACTGCTCTTCTTCGCTTACGATGTTTTCGGAATTCCCTTTGTTGACCCGGTGAGCCAGGATGCAGGAGCTGGGGGTGAGGGGGCTAGCTGTGTGACTCTAGGCAAAAACCATCAGGGGCCTGAGCCAGACATGGGACCTGTGAAACCTGTGGACGAGAGGCAGAGGAAGACAAAGGGGAGTTCTGGGCAGCCAGGGGTGACTCCGGCTCCCACACCTCACTTTACCTCCTGAGAGGAGGCAGGCGATGAGGCGGGTCCTCCCGTAGGCCCTAATCTACGCACGGAGACCTTGGAGGATGATGCAGGTCGCTCTACAGTGTTGATCTTTCTCCTGATCTGCTTTTAGGATTCATGGACTCCAGAAGAGGTGATTCCCAAAAGATTGCAAGAGAAACAAAAGTGAGGCCCCTGAAGAAACTGCATGGCTGGACCGGCCTGATGAGGCACTCGAGGCTTCCTGAGCCCAGGCAGATGTGAACTCCTGGCAGGGGGGTGGGCTGGTCCAGGCTGGGAGGCTGGGGTGGGAGCCAGGGTGGCCCCAGAACACAGTGCTCAGGGTGGCCGTGCTCACAGGTCCGAAAGGGAAACAGCCGTCCGCATCTCCCAGGAGATTGGAAACCTCATGAAGGAGATTGAGACCCTGGTGGAGGAGAAGACCAAGGAGTCGCTGGATGTGAGCAGGCTGACCCGGGAAGGTGAGAGGTCAGAGCCTGGGGGTCTGCGGCTATCATGTACACAGCAAGCTGGTGTCCTTGCGCAAGCTGACCAGCCCCAGGACCTGTGCCAGGCTTAGCCTCGCCTGGTGCCCTTTTTAACTCACCAGGACTTCCACCCAGAAGGGGCACTGACGATTGGTCTTTGGTTAAGAGATAGGATTCCTGTTGTCACTGCAATGCTGGTTCAGCTCACTGCAGTCAGTGTTTACAGCACAGGCCTCATCCTGTCCCCCCCCCCCCCC